GCTGTTCTCTTTCATTATGTTAATTTTGTTCTTTAAAACACTCAAGGCAGAATCCTGTTTCACTCACTAGACAGCTAGTGCTGAATCCTATTTCACCTTTGCATGCCTAAGTGGTACTTCCATAGCTGTATAACTGAAGTTTTTGGCCCATACTTACAGTTTCAGATCCACAGATCTATACCCTCTGATTACTTTACTGATTATGCTCAGAAGGCTGAACTCTGACCATGCATGTATTTAGGTAGATTAGAATCACCCACACATGCCTGTAACAAAATATGTCCCAAAACTCGAGTCACAGAACCTCCACCCCTCCCAACCCCCAACTATTGGGTATTTTATGTTGGAAGAAGAGGTGGGTCCTCTCACCTTTTGGACCAATAGCCTTTGCCCAGTGAGCAGAAGACCCAGGTTAGAGGCTAGTCATATGGAAGGAATTTGAATCTGTGTGGTCTATTTCCCAGGAAAGTGGTCTAACCACCAGGACATAGTTAATGCATTACCCAAAGTTTTCTCTAGTCCTCTTTTTGAAGCTGGCCCACTCAGCAGCCAAGAGAAGAAGATATTTGAACCCAAGATGAAAAGAACATGCTCAGTGGGATAGATGCAGCTATCAAGGGAAGGGGGCTCTAGTATCAACCCAGCCTCTGCCTCCAGTGGGGAAGAAATTATGCTAGTGTTGTTAATCTATTTTATTCAGTGAGTGGTAAACACAATGTTTAGTGGGTAGGCTTCAAGAGGAAGGCTAGAGAGTACCTTGATCAATGCTTAGCCCAAAACCGGGTGATTCAAGCATTTTGCATTCAAACCCTTCTCTGGGTGTGAAGGTCTTCCTCTTTTATTTTACCTCTGGCACATACGTGAAATCCTGCAGTCTGTCACTCCTAGTCCACCATGGGTGGAAACAAGCTAAATTGTGCATAGGTGGCAAGAATTTTATAAAGGGTACTCTTTGGCCCTGCAGCTGAGTAAAAGACACTTAACCCCCTGGCACACATTAATTTAATGGCACAATAGGATCTGATCCCCAATATCAAAATTGTGCCTCCTGCTATGCACACTTGCTGGGCTGATGATCAGATCCCAATCATGCAATTAATACTTGTAATTGCAGGGGAGACTGGGATCATAATCCTGGGCACCCCCTGCATCAGCAAATTGTGCTAAGGTCTCATATTACATGACTGTCAGCTCTGGCCCTGGGTGTCAAATTAGCCCAAATGTTGTCCCATGGCTGACAATCAGCTGATTGTCAGCTCCAGCCCCAGGAATGCACTGGCCCCAGTGCAGTCTGGGCCTGGGTCTGACACATTAATTGTGGCATAAGTGTAATGTGTGAAAGGAACCAGAGGTGCATGTAAGTGAAAGAGGTGTAGCTAATATGGAGTTGCTGGCAAAGTCCTGATATAGAGAACCAGGATCAGTGAAGTGGTCTGCTATGTAGACGGGTAGAGCCAGGTCCTGTTCCACTTACTGGCCCTGTTGTGTAACAAAAGAAACCCTGAGCTTGTACATTTTACCCAATGAATCTTTAATGCCAACTGCATCACAGACATCAATGTGCACTTAGAGTCATTGTAAATTATGGCACTATTCTGGATTGCATTTCATTAACTATCTGGCCCAAAGGAATTGATTGACTGCAAATAACAAATAATTTAAAGATATATTTTTTGTTCTGCCAGTTCAGCATTCTCTTTTCCTTTCTCCAAGCACACTTCTTGTTAGGGATTCTGGGTCATGTCTTCCAAGGGGCCTCTACTTCAGGAAGAAGGATTGTAATAAGGACTATCACTTAGAGGCTTTCTAAATATGGCAGGTGGGCATCTACTCCAACCTTATGGGAAGGAGTGGGAAAGTAGAGCATGATGTGAGAAAGCTAACTTTTTGCCTCCAAAACTGTTAATGCAATGTTCTCAATGACTCAATACAAAATGCACAAATAACCCTGGAGGCACAGGCTTACCCACAATGAGGGCAGCATCTACCTCCCTGAGCCACAAGATCAGGCTCCTTCTTTCTCCTTTTCATGCTCTCTCCAGTTTGCTATCCTTCCTGCCTGCCCAATGGCTTAGCTTCAACGGGAAAATTCATCCAGTACCATGTAGCCCATGGCTTGGTTTCTAGATTACTGTCTTATGACGTAGGAGGAGGTAAGCCTAGAGACTCAGGCCCTTCCACTCCTGGGCAGGTGCTAGAACCACTTGCCTGTTGTGGAAAAGTTGACACCGCTCATCAGTGTTAAACAATTACTAGTCATAGGCTGTGCTTGACTACAGCTTCGGGGGTTAATGCTGCACCTCTGTGTATCCATGGCAGAGTTGAATTAAAACAGGATGTGAATGTACTTAGGTTCCTCCCTGAGGCAGGACTGAATTGCATTTAAGCATCTGCAGTAGGAAATAACTTAGTCTTGTAGGGCAAGGCTGTCCACCTGACTGTAACTCTGTCATTGCTTTGGCTATAGTAGCAGCCAAGGACTCCAGGCTCCCCTTCCTTCTTCTTCCTGCCCCCACCACCAGGGCAGCACAGAAAAATGACTGGAGAGGAAGGCAGAGTGCCCACACATGCCACTCTGTGCAGGGAAAGCATCTATATGCAGCCTGGTTGTGTGCAAAACTGCATGTGGCATGATGTGAGGCCCTAGGGGCATCTGGCCCATGTTAGTGTGGCCCATGTAGCTTGTGGCCCTTCCAAGTTAGACAGCCATAATGGAGGGCAAAACTTTTAGCTGTGTAACATGTTTAATGACATATATGCTATTCAAGCATAAGTGAAACAAGATGCTCTTGGGTAACTTTTATTCCTAACAATTGCGTATGTTCCTTATACATGGTAACAGAATTTGGCTACATACAGTTTTTCGTGGTTCTCTCAGAGATTGTCTCTTTTTTAATCTACACATAGGTCCTTTGAAATCCTTGCCTGTTTAAGCAGTTTTATCAGGGTGTGATGATATAACATTTTTCATTTCTCTGTGGTCCAGAGGACTCCAGAAGAAGCCTTTAGAAAATGTTATTTTTTCCAAGAAAAAAAATATATATTACGTTAGTTGATTTGGAACTGTTTGAAATTCAAAGTTATCAATGCAAAATTGATTTTTTTATTGCAAATCCTTTTTTGTCTGATTATTAGCATTACTTTATTCCAAAATGTAGTGTGTTAATTTTCAATCTAAGAGCATATGCTAGAAGAGCCCTTCAAGATCCATATTCAGATTTCCACTTTTATTTAACTACACAGAAATCCACATGGCTCTGTTCACTTTTAGTCATAATTAAATACTCTTTGGGTGCATCTACACATGTAATTAATGCTTTTTAGATGTACTGCTCAGTAATTTACTACACAGTAAACCAGACCGGTCTACACATGCACCCATGTGGGCACATCTACATGATCATTAATGTGCCATAGTTACAGCACATTACATTTAGTACTTGCAATAACACAGGCACCCCGTAATAACAGGTATTAAGTTATTCACCATAATTGGCCCTACTGTGCAGTAGTGCCAGCACATACTTTTTTGTGATGCTAATGTGCAGTAGATGAATTCTACTGTGCATTAGTTCATTAGCACAGTTTTTTCCTGCTGCACTAATGTGCAATAGACTTAGTTGTCTGAGCATTTAGAGTCTTGTATAGACATACTCTTTTGGGAACAGATTTGCTTCTTATAGGTTTAAGCAGATCCAGGACTGCTCCTGCCCTACTCTGACCTCCTGCAGCATCCAGGGGATGTTGCAGGTTCCAGATGCAGCTGCCTGGGTGCCAGGAGGCTTGGGTGGGGGAGGGCGGGGAGAGGGGTGACAGGCCAAACTATCTCAGGACCTCAACCTCCCCCCAGACCACAATGCGGTCAGTGATCTCTTCTGCTGCCCAGTTTGGGTCCTAGGCTGCTCTCCCTGGGGTTAGGGACACTGCCATCACTGGTGCTACCTCTGGCAGGGACTCTGGGTGTCATTGGGTTTGGGCACATACCCACTGCAGAGGGGCATGGTACCCAGAGGCCAGGCAGCTGCAAGCACAGGTTCTGAGAGTCAGGCCAGTGACCTGTGAGACTGCTGGAGCCAGCATGTGCCTGCAGCACAGGGGCACTGTGCCCAGGGGCCAGGGAGCAGCCAGCAAAGGCCTGGGGGTCAGGCCAGGGTTCTGCAGTGCTGTTGCAGCCAGCGTGTGCCCACCACACCAGCATACAGTGGCCAGGGGCAGGCAGCAGCTGTCTCAGGCCCCAGAGGTCAAGCCAGGGAGTCTAGAGGCCAGCCAAGGGCTGTTAAAGAGCCTTCTCTTCCCTGTGGCTGGAAGGACTCCCAACCACATTGCTCTGCCCCTGGCAGGAGGCTGGTCCCTTCCTGACTGAGAACAAATTTGTCCCTGGTCAGTGTCTACACATGTGCTACTGCATGTTAGCTAATGCGCAGTAAATCTACCTGTAAAAACAGGCGGTAGATTCATTGGCAATGTGTAGGGGGTGCATGTGGGTGCTCGTGCGTCTCCTGAGATTGGCAGTGCACCCCCTGCAAAAAGTACCTCTCACCATCCCCACCCCTCCACCGCTGACACTGCCAGCAGTGTCTGCGGGTGGTAGCCGACTGCCGGTCAGCGCTCACCATTCCCTCCCCACCCCCACTGCTGACACCTCTGTGGCTGCCTGTGGGAGCTCCCTGCTTGCTGCTGCCGCACCCCCGCCACTGCTGCCGACACCTGTGGGCAGTTGCTGTGCCCCCCTAGCCTCTGGGGACATGCATTGTTCACAGATAGATTTACTGCACATTAGTTAATTTTATTGTGTAGTAGCTCAGCACACGGTTACATAGTGACACTTTACTGCTCACTAGATTTTACTGTGCAGTAAAGTATGTCATGTAGACACTGACTTTGTTATCCTCAACACACTACCAATGTACATCTTACCTCTTCATTTCTCTTTCTCTGTACTATTGGTAGTGTTATTGTCATCCCTCCACTGGCTCTTCTTTGCCAACTGAAGAGGAAGAAATTGAGATTAAAAATACTTCAAAATACCACATTAATATCTTCCTCTGAACGCCCCAATGCTTCTCTTCTTAGCCACCTGTTATCTCATATTTAGGCCCTGAACCCACATGCACTAAATAATAACCATATATAGTAGAACCTGAAGTTCAGGATGTGCAGGATCCAGCCTTTAGCTTGGATGTTACTCAGCACTCAGGAAGAAGATTGGCTTTCTGCTATGTAGATGTCTTAGGGTTTCCTTTGTTATTAGAAACCAATTATTATAGGGTAATATAAAATGTTCAGCTCCAAGTATCTGATTTTAGGTACTTATAGGGCCTGCAATAACACTACATCCTAAAGTCTTTAATGTATTTATCATCACAACATCCCAGAAAAGGATTCACTCTGACTTGTGCAGAGATAACTCAGAGTGTCTCTGCATGACAATGCTTTGCCTTCTCAAGACTCAGGTTTGTGAATTCCTCTTTTGCAACTTGGCACCAATCTAGAGGAGCAGTGTCACATGGCATCACCACACCTCTGTAGATCTCATCCTGACTTTCACAAGGTCACACAGGGAGTCTAGCATGGAAGAAGACATGGACCTAGGAATGTTTGATAGTATATTAACCAAAAGATCAGCTTTCCTCTGAAGCTAAACACCCAGTTAAATTGACCTAAACTGCAAACATGTTACCATGTTAAATTATTTGTATAGGCAGAGGATAATTAACATACAGAGATGAAAACAGCAGTCTCAATACATATCAAAAGCACATTTCTTGTTAATAAATAGGATTTATGACTTAGCCACCCTCTGTGAAAAACAAACTTTTCTTTGTTAGGGCAGAAAATGCAATAATACAAAATGGTACATTGTGCTTCTCTTTTTATCCTGTGTATAAACAAACATATTTTAATTATCACAGTCTGACATATGAGATTCAAAATAGAAGATACAGAACTGAAAGATATAGTACATTTGTAATGCAGAAGAAGGGATCATTTTCTTTTATATACCAAACAAAAACACATCTAGCAGAAGTGCTGAAAAATATGGTATTACATTAAATAAAATCTTTATTGAAGCAACAATTGTAACATTAAATAGATTTCAGATTTTATTTGCAATGTCAAAATGTTAAAAGTGGTGTTACATCAGATTTTTGTAAATATATTTGTGCCAGAAACAAGAAATACACTGTACTGTCCAGATTTATCTATTTGTAATATTTCCTTGATTTTATAATGTACCATTAACTCACGCATTCTCACTAGGCCATAGACAATAATAAATAGAAGGTTAATGGCATAGTAAAGCCCAGGAAAACTGAGTTTGTATGTCAAGATTTTTACCTTCTAAGTGACAAAAAGCAGAATAGCTCTGGTGTTCAAAGAGCTGTGGATTGTGAAGAAGGGAAGAATAGGTTAGGAAGTATTTAAGGGGTATGTATCTTCCAGAAAAAAAGATCAGAAGGACAACTAAGAGATAAGGTCTGCTGAGAAAAGACACCAGAGAGGTAAGTGGAAGAATTATCTCCCTTAGAGTCTTAATCAGGAAACACATACTAGTTGCTTCCTCTGACAAAGAACTCCCATTCCAGCCTCGTGAAGAAAAGAAAGCAACTTCCAGAGGAAAAGAGAAGGATGTGGATATCATTAAGAGCATCCACTGAGGGACATATTAAGCTCACAGCCAAGCAGCTGCTGGAAGAAAAGAAGTTACAGACAGATTCAAACGAATCATTGCTATATAGTAAGCAAAAAATATATGCATTACAAAAAATCCATGATTCAAAAATCCATGTAGATGACCACAAAACTACTTGTAGTACAACAAGTGCAGATTCTTTTGTTGCTAAATTTAATGTATATTTTGGGGATAAAATAAAGTAGACAGGAAACCAAGCTGAATGGATATCACATGGCTTTTCAGCTGTAATACAAATAACTCATACTGGTTAGCAGGGAGTCATGTGACCTGACTTACCTTGTCACTATGCACAGGATCTTGCTTTGTTATCTTCAACTTTCAGATAGGATACATGGCACAACATTTAGATGAATGATGAAAAATAATACATTTGAGGCAAAGCTTCCAAAATAGGTAATACAGAAATATGGCATCATAGTGGCCAAGGAAGAGGGTAAGATATAGATGAATTTAAGAAACCTTACACTCCAGTGCATCAGGTTAAATAGGCAGAAAGCTACACTACACATCACAATGAGCATTCATATGACAAGTGGCTCCAAAGAACTGCGTCACCACCCAAGAGCAGTTTTTTAATGTTAATACCAGCAAAGATCATTTTTTGCATTAGTAACTTGCTAATACCATCCAACATCCTCTATTGCATTATGCTGTTGGACATGCAGTCTTTAACTAGTGTTTTCTGACAAGGAGGAAGTCACCTTATATTATCAGGCATCAAATTATTTTAATAGATTGTTGATATGTTTTCTTGTTTGTACAAGCTGCTAATACAAATAGTTTGCCACACTGTAGCACAGAAAGAAAATGTGCATGATAAGGTGCAGAGTAAACACTGGTAATAAAATTAGGCCTGAAGTGCTACAGATGTCCTTAGGCCAACATCCAATTGGCTTTTGGGGAATTCGAACTCCCAAACTCCAATCTATTTAGACTTCTCAGAAAACTGCAGACCCTGTTGGGGGCTTTCAAAGCAAATACTTAAAGCAAGACTCTCTGATTCTCATGCAGTTCCTTCTGTTAACAGAAAAGCTGGTCTGATGGATGGAAAGAGACTTTCATGGTATGGCCTGAGTTTGGAGTTCTGATGTCTGGTATGGGCAGGTCTAGCTACCCATGCACTGGATAGTGCCCAAGAATTAATTTTGTTATAGACCTTACTGAAGGACTAGGAAGGATCCAACAGATTGCAGGAAAATAGGCTTAATTGTTGGCTACACAAGGCTTCGTATGACATATTCCTTTTTCTGCCTCCCTATGTCTACATTTCAGTATGCCTGATCTGTTCACATACAAACTGGTGAAATCAAAAATCAGCATCTAGTTCTCTGGTTAAATGGGGCTCTGGTTTATTGTGTAGTCAACTATAAACTATATTGGACAATCAGCCAGCCATTTATTGTGCCACAGCGATGTTGGCTGCCTGTGTTCAATGCTACTACAAAACCTTTCTTTATTGGTATGTTTCTGCATCTGTCAATTTATCAATCAAGCCTTCACCTATCCTGCAACTTTATTTTCTCTTCCCTTCTCCACTGATCAGCTGATTAGCAGGATCAGGGTGGACACTTTCTCTCATGATTTGAATTGTCTTAGGGAGTCCTAGGATGTCTCCAGCTTCATATCTGTGTACAGGATGTTGGGCATTCTCCCATATCTCCAACCGTTCCAGGGCTCCAAAACAGTTCCGGTCATAGCACCTCTGATTCCCACCCCTTGCACAGGACCAGACTGACCTAGTGCTAAGAAGGGGCAGAGGGACAGCATCTCATATCTTGATCTATCTGGGGCACTCCTGAGATGAAAGTGCATCTGCTCCCCTGTGTGATCAGGTCCAGATTACACCCAGGGTGACCTGGAGTTGTGTATGGCAGGAGGACATCCTCCCATAGTTTGAACCATCCCAGGGCTCTGGGAAAGTTCCATCAGCAATGCATTTGTCTCCTATCCAGTGCACAGCTCTGTCACAACTCCAGATCACCCTGGAGCTGTGCAAGAGCGGATGGGTGGGGAGGACGAAAGGGAGGGTAATATCTGATGGCAAAAACTATCCGGGGGCTTCAGGATAGTTTCAGCCACAGCACTTCTGCTTCCCACCCCATTCACGAAGCCAGGGTGACCCAGGGTTCTGCATGGAGTGGAGGCATTCCCAAGTTTCCCATTCTGGGCATTCCTAGAGCAGGTTAAGCTGCAGAGGAATGCCCCCTTCACCCCACTAAGTCCTGCTGATCAGCTGATTGGAAGGACCAAGCCAAGGGAACATTCTCTCATGGTTTGAACCATAGGTGGCAGCCCTGGCTTTGAGTAATGGTGTGCCTCTCCTTTCTCCCAGGGTTAACTGGAGTTGTGTATTAGGTTGCAGGGGAGGGACATTTCCCTGTGCTTTGATCGATGCTGAGTGGCCCAAGGATGGTCAAATTGAATTAGGACCCTGACCAGTCCTGGGTTTGTCATTAGTTAATTACTGTACTGGTTCAAGAAAGACTTGCTACCCACAATACTTGTTCCAATTCTTGTAAATAAAAGTGCAGCTTTGTTTATCCAGAAAGCATGCATCTGTATTTCATTGTTTTCATGCCTTTGGCAAGTTCAGTTATTCTCTTGACTCATGGTCACAATAACAGAAGAGAAAGACAGAAGAGCAACACGGTTGAAGCCATGGTTTCCACAAAATATTCCCCCATGATAACTGGTCAGGAACTACATGCAGTGATTTAGTGTGATTGCTTATTGCTTGTTGAATGACATTAAGGATGTCATAGAAACGAATCTCAGTTTCTGGCGTCAGTGGATTTCTCTCTTCTGGGTCCCTGGAGAGATCAAAGAGTAGTGGTGGATCATGATGTCTAATATAACTTCCATGGCAATGACACACATGGGAATGGTAACAACCATTTGAGTCTTCAGGATAAAAGACTGGAGTGAAGAAAAAAGCTTTCCAAATAGCATCACCTGCAATTTACAGAAATATATCAGGTGGTGATAGGCTAACAAAATAAAATATCTTTAAGCTTGTGAAAATTAAAATTAAACTACTTAATATAACTCATTTATTTCAACTTTTATGTATATATATGGACACTACAAAATATTTAAATGGACAAAAAGTATCCATTTGAAACATAATCTAGGTAGACTTGTGATTCACATAAATCACAGAAAGCTTAAAACAACTTGTACTTTTACTCATTCGCGTACCGTACCTTTTGTGCTAAAGGAAATCCTTGCAAATAAGCACAAAACCATTGCATTGACTTCTTCCAGGCTTATTAAAGTGTACCTCTGCAATGATGATGACAAATCACTCAGCTGTAAATAGCAGCTGGTGTGCTAACACATTATTACCTCTTGCTCCCCTCCATGTGATTGTTCTATCTACCTCTTATCTTTATCATACACTTAGTTCAAAAGCTGTTGAGGCAGACTGTCTTTCTATTCCATGTTACTACAGCAATTAGCATAATTTGGTCCTCAATTACTGTTTAAGAACCCTAGATACTTTTGTGCTAGTATTCCTAATAATAATACAGATTAAAAATACAGATTAAATTGAATTACACTTGTTTAGAAAATAGGGCGATATCATCTGTAGGTGAATTGTCAAACGGGAATCAAATGTGTCTGAGACTCTTAATACATTGCTAAATTTCTCATTTCTTTTGTACAGGCAATGGTATGAACTGCTGTACCATAGCTTAATTTCTCTGATCAATTCATGTTTCCACAGAAGGAAAGGTAGATTTATGACTAACATAAATCACAGATGAGTTGGTACCTAAAGGAGGCAGATAAATTCTAAGATAAGATGAATTGGAGGACTCCAAAATGTTTACCAGAAAAGAAGTCTACCAGGAAACGGCTAACTCTTCACTCAAATTCTGCAGTCAGACAGCAATTTTATATTTCGCCTAGGACACAGCAGCATTGTTCCAGAAGCAAACCAAAGAATAAATTGTATCTCAGAAGGCACATCTACATGAGCAATTAGTGCACATGAATAAACTCCAGAGCAATCAGCTCCAGAGTTTATTCATGTGCAGCATCTGAAGCCAGGTGGAAGTAGCCCTGGCTGGCAGGAATCCCGGGGGTCAGCCTGTCAGCTTGGGAATTCTTCTTCCAGCTCCATGCGCTGCAGGAGTCAGCCCCCTCACTGCAGCACCCTTGTGCCCCAGCCATTTGGGTAGCATCTACACATGTGCTGCTGAGGAGCTGTTTAGTTTGCATCAGGATAGTATCTGCAACCAGAAGTCAACTGTGCAGTAAATGTCTTGTGTAGATGTACCCAGGGAAATGCACTTGTTGGTACTGCTTCACATTTTGCATTAAAAATTAATCTCAGTCAAAAGAGTTTCAGCTAGCTTTATTAATCTGGTAACTGGTTGTCATGGATTTACATGCAGGGCTACAAAATGTAGTATTCATTAAGATTACTAATTAACCAGAAATGGAATTAATTAGGAAACAGGATGAGGGGGGGGGGGGGGGGAGGGGGGGGCGTCTTCTGGGAGATAGGTGGTACATCTTACATGTCCAAAATACATTACACTAGGCTTTTAGAGATAATATTGGCTTGCAGGCTGATAGGTTCCACTGAAAAAAGAGCTGGAGAATAAGGTTATAATCTACAACATGGATTTAAAAGAAAGTAAGTAACCTTAAGATTCTTTACAGCTTCTTTTGTTATAGATCATTCTTCACAATATAAGAGATATTACTTTAAGGAACTTTTCCGTGACAAACTGATAGAGCCTGGAGACTTCCAGTTCTCTTAGACTGCACGCACATTCAGTTATCAGGGGCAGACGGGTGAAGGTTACAATAGAAATTGGGCAGAAGAATCCCTCTAAATGTTGATGAAAAATAAGCAAAGGTGAAGGACATTTGGAGGAGGTAGTGAATTTCTTGTACAGACAGTAAATCACAGCACTTCAAAAATCCTGAGAAGGTACTGACTCCAACATCAGGCATCAACAGGCACTTGTACACATGACAAATATTGGCTGTTTTGCGGTTTAATTGCATCACACTGTGCATGTGTGGGGGGGGGGTTGTTATAAATTAAATGAGTTTGTTATGTTGCAAACCAAACCACATCTGCATGTAGTTTAGTTTGCAGTGTAGCTATTTGTAACATTGCAGCTTTTGACACCTCACCCCCAAACCCCTGCTGCAGAAAAGGTTGGCTGAAGGCAGAAGCAGCGAGGGGCCTGTTCCTTTTTTTTTTTCATGGAACCTGTCCACCACCCTCATGGCTGGTGGTCAAGATGCTGGTGGGCTGAGTGGTCCCTGAGCTGTGGGGAACCCCAGTCCTTTTCTCTGCAGTGGCAGTGCCCCCCAGGGCTGCCTGGGTGGGCTGTTAGTGGGTGGGTGATGGCCCAGCTTGGGGAACAGTCAGATCAGGCTGGGTGCTGCCTCCAAGCTAGGGCAGCACCCACCCACTAGCCACCTGCCAGGGTGGCCCCGGGGCGGGGAGGGTTGGTACAACTATGGAGGAATAACAGGGTTCCTTCACAGCTCAGGGACCACTGGCAGCTCAACTCCTGGCCATGGGAGAGGCAAACAGGCTCTGCAAAAAAAAAAGAAAAAAGAAAAGAAGCAGGCCCCTCACCACTTATTTGTTTTCCAGAGAGGCCTGCCTGCATGAGCTGCTGGTGGCTTGCACAGGCTCTGAGCTGTGGGTGGGACCCAGTCCTTCCCTTTGCAGTGGCTGTGCCCCTCAGGGTCACCAGGGTAGGGTGCTAGCAGCATGGGTGCTGCCTCATTTTGGAGGCAGAACCCCACTGGATCCAACTGTTCCTGAGCACACCTGGGGAGCAGCACTTGGCAGGTTTCCAGTGGGCAGGCTCAGGAACAATTGGACCTGGCAGGGTGCTGCCTCTGAGCTGGGGCAGCACCCGTGTAGCTAGCACCCTGCCCTGACAGCCCTGAGGTAAGGACCGGGCCCCCCCATAGCTCAGGGGCTGCACAGCCCACCAGCAGCTCACGTGGGCAAGCTCCACCAGAAAAAGAAAAAAGCGGCAAGGGGCCTGAACCTTTTTCTTTTTTCATGAAGCCTGCCCACCTCTCCCATGGCTGGGGGGAGAGCTACCAGCAGACCCTGAGTTGCTGCGGGGGGGGAGGGGGCAGTCCTGCCCTCTGCAGTGGCAGTGCCCCCAAGGGCCGCCTGGGCAGGGGGACAGCAGGCGGGGGCTGCCCCAGCCTGGAGGCAGCACCTGGCCCTATCCAACTATTCACCAAGCCCATGCTGAGGCAGTACCTGCCTGCTAGCAGCACACCAAGGCGGCCCCAGGGTGCACCACAACTGCACAGGGAAGGACTGGGGGCCCCTGCTGCAGCTCGGGGACCGCTCGGCCTGCCAGCAGCTCACCCTCCCACCCCCCACCCCTGCCACCAGAGAGGTGAGCATGTGAGCAGGCTTCACCAAAAAAACCCTTTTTTTAAAGGATCAGGCCCCTCACAACAGTAATGGACGGAAGCCCCTAAATTGAAATGGTGGGGTTTTAATCATTGCAATTAAAAACCCACCATTTCAATTTAGGTAACTAAACCCCTGTCATGTGTACAAATGCCCAACATGATTACAGAGTTGGTAGGTTAGTCACAGTAAAGATAGAACCACTTTCAATATAATTTTGAAACATGCATTAATGTTTTTGCTGCTTATGTTATTTGCTGATTTCTTGCAGTCAAAGAAATCATTTTAAATTTACACGAATCCATGTACAGGATAATGTTCAGAGCCTCCTTCTGAACATGCCCTCATTTGCAGCAATATTAATTTAAGCATTCTGAGACAGGTATGTTGTTCTATGCTAAGTGTTGCTTCAAGCTATTTTGGGCATTTAACTGGTAAGATGGATAGAGAAACAGAGGGAATTAAAAAAAAAGCTAAACATTATATCAATCAGTGATGTGTGTGAGCTGTAGGCTGTACAGGGCCATAGATGGTATAGACAGAAGTTATGTTTTTTGTGCGATCATCGCCCTGAAATCACTCTGCAGCCAGACCATGACACACAAGTATGGCTGCAGAGCACTCTTAAAGTGGCCAATCATGAAAAAAATGAACTCTTATCAAATGAGGTATCAGATGAAGATGCTCTGATTTAGAGAGCCTTAGGGAAATTGTCTTCATTAGGTTCAACTTTTCACGCAACTGAGGCTGGGCACATGCATCCCAGCCCCACTTCCAGAGCTGTCAGC